GGGGTGGGGGGCCAGAAGGTGGGGGAAACCTTTGGAACAAAGGGCCGAATCTCAACCATGCTAATCTTCTCTGTATCGTTCCAATTTTAACGGATGTCCCGAAGGACCCATCTATTTTTTTTCTTTTCTTTTTTTATCCCAAATCTTTCATCATCTTTCAAATTCTTTCAATTCACCTTCACTACCTGCCTACCTATCACTACTCCTAAGGCTCATACAGAGGTGATAAATGTGTCGCACATTTGTATTCTGCCGGAACGCAGAGCATGCAAATAAGTTGAAATAACTATAAATTGTACACATCAGTTCAGTCTCCGTGTCCAGCACAAGGTTTTACGCATAAAAGCCATAATTTCATACGCTGTTTATTTATGAATGCCAGATGCAATACCGGTTTCCCCTGAATAGAACGTACTGTCAAAATAACCGTACGTGGAGCAACTTTCAGTCTAGATACAGCGGTATGACTGTGTGTTCTTTTTGGGGGACGACGGTAGTCATGAACTCGGTCCAAAGAGCTTACATCATCAACACAATGGATGAACCTCACAATGTTCAACGAATGACAGCGAACAGGAAGAACGCGGAGGACGAGGACGATGACCAAGACGATGAGGAGGACAACGAGGAGGACGAGGAGGACGAGGACAACGAGGACGACGACGAGGACGGCGACGAGGACGAGGAGGACGACGAGGAGGACGAGGACGACGAGGACGACGGCGAGGAGGAGGACGAGCACGACGAGGACGACGAGGAGGACAAGGACGACGAGGAGGAGGAGGAGGAGGACGAGGAGGACGAACTCAAAATAATAGTCAGTTGATACAAAGTCCTTTTTTCTGGCTTCCTTCTCCTACCTGCGGGCGCTCCTCCCTCTTCTCCCCGCCTCAACAGTCATTATTATCCTAGCTCTCTACCAAATCTTCCATATGCAAAGTCACTCTCCAATGCAATAATTCGATTATGAAAAGTCCGGCCATAGGCCACCCGGGCGGCACGGCTGGTAGCCCACTAATAATTCCATTATAAAACGGGGTTATAAGAAATAAAAGACGATAATTGAGCTATCTGAGAAAAATGAGAGTTTATTTTTTCTGTTGACAAAGTTAGTTATTCCCCCCCCATCATGGGCCTCGTCAAACACTCGCCAAACTCCAACATTTTGAATGTATCGGGACAAATGGTGGGTTCAGATGCACTTCAGAATGTTGACAGCAGGCAAGGGGTGTGGCACGAGCCCCTATGGCACATGGCCTGTAAATGACGATGATTAAACTATCTTTGAAAAAATGGATTGAATTTCAATTTATTATAAACTACCTTTAGAAAAAAATGGATTTCAATTTAAGTTATTTAACAACAATGAGATTTAATTCTCATCCCACATTATCAGACATGATTCCTGAATAATGAGATGGATTAGCGTCACCACAAAGTGTGGACTTTTTTTATCGCCATCCCCTATGAAGACAGATATGAGAGCCGCGCCACCGTGGCCACCTTGTCTGTCCAGGCGGCCCGGCGTGCAAGGACCAAAGAAGGTCCCAGCAAAAAAAAAAAAAAAAAAAAAAAAGAAGATATTCTTAAACTCCGAAAAAAAAACTGCGTTACGCAGAAAAATAAACTGAACAACTTTTGCCCCCGGGTCACATCGAAATTCTTTACCAATTTTAAAATTTGATAAACCATAAATAAATAAATAAAAACGTTAATTGAAGTCTGTCTCTTATACACATCTAGATGTGTATAAGAGACAGAAAATAAACTGAACAACTTTTGCCCCCGGGTCACATCGAAATTCTTTACCAATTTTAAAATTTGATAAACCATAAATAAATAAATAAAAACGTTAATTGAAGTTATTGAACTTAATTCTTTTTTTTGGGGGGGGGGCAGCCGGCCAAGTGGTTCCGAGCCACTCTGGTAGCCTCTAGTTACAAAGTATTAGAAAGAATTGCTAACTATTGGAAATTATTTAAAAAAGAACTAGAAAATGACATTAAAATATATTAGAACGCTGAACAGAATACTCGTGAAAGTGACATGCTCGGCAAGGCCGATGCACTACAAGATCGCACGCCGTCTACAGCAACGTCGAAAACCGTCAGTCTTCCCCCGAACACAACATACCCTCACCGTGACAGTATACAAGCTATCTTCCCGGCCCAATGGAGTCCTGAAGCTGTGAGCGTAGTGTTCGTGAGCAAGACACTACAACGATTTAGTACGATAGAGATCCTGCAATCGTGATAACCAAAAGAGAAAGAACTAAAAGAAAAGTCGACAGGTGGGGGGTTAATAGAGAGAGCCCGGGTTTCCCACCTTCTTCTCCGTCCCAAGCACCCTCTCTTCCCTCCCTCTCTCTCCTTCCCTTACCCCCCCCCCCCAAGAAGAACGAGGGAAGTCAGAGTCAAACTACTGTCTTCCCCCGAACATAATGCATGTATTGTCAACGCATACAATGCATAGGCTGCTTACTATTCGAATACAACACATAGGCTGCTTTCTATTCGAATACAACACATAGGTTGCTTTCTATTCGAATACCAGACATAAGCTGTTTTCTATTCAAATATACAACGCATATGCATTCTATTTGAAAACCCCATTATATTCAAATACAAGGCATATGCATGAAAATCGAGTCATCATTTTTTTTTCCAAAAACTCGACTACAGCGCATATGCGTTATGTTCAGGGGAAGACGGTAGTCTGTGTGGAGGCATCGAACAACAGTGGAGACTCAGCAGAGATGGGAAGATCCCCTTCATTTCCCTTCTTTCTTTCTTTTTTTTTACTTTGTTTTTTTCTCCCATCCTTCCTCTCTTCAGTTCTCCTGGGTGCACCTCTGCTCCCCCACTCATACCTCAGTGTCTACCACTCAAAACCATCACCGTTCTAACAGCTTGGTGATGTGACCTGACCGGACAGTGGCCGTAGGTACTTCGGTCAGGTCACATCACCAAGCTCAGGGCTGAGCTGGGGGTTCTGGTCAGCCAGGACCGTAGGCGCCAGGACTGACCAGGACCTCCAGCTCAGCCCTGGCTGAAGAATTATGCTTAAAGCCCCTGCGGTCCAGGTACTCCGGGCGGTGAGCTTTCTTTTTTCTACAGGTACCATGGGCGGACCCCTACCTGTCCCCCAAACTTACCCGGGCTCACCAGTGTATGGATCTAGTCGCACACACCCTAGACATCACAGGCAGTGTCTAATGGCACCCCATAGTCAAGGCTCAAGCTTTGACATCCTCTGAGCAACCCGGATATACCCATCTAGCACAGCTGTTATTGGTTATTCTAGTTGCTGACAATACCACCCAGAGGCTCTAGCCTATCATCAGGAGTTGTAAGGCCACCATCCTTCCCCCCTACCCCACAAGTTTACTAGACCCCTCTCCAGTCGCTGTTTGTAGTTATATTGCTTACACGAACACTTTGCCTCTCTCTCTCTCTCTCTCTCTCTCTCTCTCTCTCTCTCTCTCTCTCTCTCTCTCTCTCTCTGTGTGTGTGTGTGTGTGTGTGTGTGTGTGT